CATCCAAAGCAGCGTGGCCAGCAGGTCCAGGGAGAGAATCCTGCCACTCTGCTCTGCTCTGGTGAGACCCCCCCTGCAGTGCTGCATCCAGCTCTGGAGCGCTTAGCATAGGAAGGACATGGAGCTGTTGGAGAGGGTCCAGAAGAGGGCCACAAAAATGCTCAGAGGGCTGGAACAGCTCTTCTGTGAGGACAGGCTGAGAGAGTTGGGGTTGTTCAGCCTGGAGAAGAGAAGGCTCTGGGGAGACCTTACTGTGGCCTTTCAATACTTAAAGGGGCCTTGTAAGAAAGATGGGGACAGACTTTACCAAAGCCTGTAGTGACAGTATCACAGAATCATAGAATCATTGAGGTTGGAAAAGACCTTTAAGATCATCAAGTCCAACCGTTAACGTAACACTGCCAAGTCCACCACTAAAGCATGTCCCTGAGCGCCACACCTACACATCTTTTAAGTACCTCCAGGGATGGTGACTCAACCACTCCCCTGGGCAGCCTGTTCCAGTGCTTGACAACCCTTTCGGTGAAGAATTTTTTCCTAATATCCAATCTAAACCTCCCTTGGTGCCATTTGAGGCCATTTTCTCTTGTCCTATCACTTGTTACTTGGGGAAAAAAAGAAAAGTGACTTCCCAATTGCCGGCAGTGTAGTACTACAGCACTGGTCTGAGATACTTATATTCCACCTGTTTGTACTTCCTGATGCATGGCAAAGGACCTGAACCCATACTCCAGGACCACACATATTCTTGGGAAGTCTGCCTTAATGTTGCTATCTGAATATTTAAGCATGAAAAATCACTATCACATATTGCAGCTGTTTTACTTTGTACTAGTATTTAAACATAAACTAGGCATTTCTGAGTGAGAAATGATCCCACTGTACAGATGTAAAGCATCTCCCTAGAACATGGAAATTTAAGATTCAAATCTATGACCTAAAAATAAGAAAACTGGATCTATACTACAAGGGAGACTGAGTAATCACCCTTTGCAAGTATCACACAGTCATCCAGAACAGGTAAAACTCAGGTAGACATTCCCATTCCCTTACTAGACAACACAGCTTTTAATTATAAAAAAAAAAAAAAAAAAAAGAAAAGAACGAAAATGTACTGTTTGAATTCCCTCACTGTACAGGAACAGCTTATATCCTTTGCCACTGCACTTCTCTGCTGTACTTTCTGGGACTCCCAACAGCCTTTTAAGGGCTCAGTACAATCAGCTGTGTATACACAATACAGGCAGAACTTTCTGCAGACAAGAGGCAGAAAATACAGGTTATTTAGGAGACTGGAACCACTTGAGTTAAGAGCTCAACTAGCAGTTTTGATAATGTCAGTGATGATGGATCTGAAGCCACTAAAGTCCTTTAAAGTCCTGAACGTATGCAGTTATGTTTGAAACAGTCTCCAAATACAACTCTCAAACAATTTAATATTTCAGATGAAAAAATAATGTCATTCTGTTTGAAGAATCTAGCATGTTAAAAGATGTGATATATTACATTCAGTCAAAAGGAGAAAGCTGATAACTAGTAACAAGATGGCAGCAAACCTCAAGTCAGAAGCAAACTTAGAATGAAATATAGCCATAAAAAAGATCAGTGTGAATTCAAAAGGAGAAAAACAAAACAGTGTCTTGGAGGATAATGAAGAAAATAAGCCTCTCTCAAGTGCCTCCCTTGTAATTGCACATGAAATACTGAACTACTAGTTATCAACACAACTAAACAATGACAAAGAGCTGCCAGAACAGAAAAGCAGATAATAAGGAAGGGTTTAGAGACTGCCCGAGGAGAAAGATCTTAGAAATTAACGTTGGCTGACATATAAAAATATGTAATTTTATGAGGAAAAAATTATTTGCTGCAGCATAACACTTGAAGTAATGGGGCTACAGAAAACGCGAAAGAATTTGGCAGGCACAAACAGAATACACTTTAAGACAGATTCATTTTTCTATAAAGTAGGTATACACGCAGGTCGGTACTTTGTGTGGCAGTTCTCCGGGAAATTACAGGGAAAAAAACCCTGATGGGGGAATGTAAAGGTATTTCCAGTTTTCACATAACTTACTTTCCTCTTAAATTTAGTTGTGAAAAAACTATAAAAAGTCCCAGAAAGCTATCAGGCTACGATTTATGATTTTTTTTTCTCTATTAGGCATAATAAATATTTCAAAGTTCAGTTTTTCTTCAACTATATAAACTCTCAGACCTCCAGCACAAGACGCGGCTCAGGTCTGCGGCCTGCGGCAGAGACCAGGATACCACAGACAAAGGCGCCGCCGGAACGAGGCGCCGGGCAGCGCGGGACCAACGCCGCCCGGCTCCTCGAGCTCCCAAGGTCCTCCCCAGGGCACTCACCCCCTTGCCCAGGCGTCTTTTGATCTCGTACTTCTGAGAGACG